GGACCGTGTCAGCTGGGAAGACTGCTCTTTTTGAAAACAAATTCCGCTTCCTATCTTCCATATGTGATAAAAGAGTGACTACAGAACCCTCCCTGAAGAGGCGTATTTTCAAGCCTCAATGAGAAGATTAACTTGTAATTTCAAAAAGTTTATTGCTGAAACTTCCTCTTCCCTTTTTTTCTTTTCTTTTTTTTTTTTTTCCACTTTTAATCAGAGCAGTATTGTTGATAAATGCATAAAGTTTGCTGATGTTGGTAACTTTTAGAATATACATGTCTTCAAGATAGCACAACTTAGAAGTTGCTTTTTATGCAGAAGCCTGTTACATATACTATTGAAATATTTATAGAAGAACAGCTAATTAAGGGAACAGTTTTTATTATAGAGTGACAGAACATAGTATGAAGCAAAAATTATTTAACTTCTGTGAGTTTCAGGGAAAGTTGGTAGATTCCTGTCAAAACAGTGGTTAAAATGTAGTCTTGTCCTTTCTCATAAATGAGATGTCACTAAATTGACAGTTTTATCCAGTGAATGTAGGCTGCTGCTATATTTCTCTTTCTTTTTTGACTGCTTATATTTTTCTGTCCCCTTATAAAGTTGGACTTTATCTATTTTTTTTTTAGTTTGGGCAGGAGTTTTTAACAGGATTTTTGTGAAGTCTGAACTATCATTTTGCTGGCTTAATGGTATTGCTAGACTACTTGTTGTCTTGTCCTTTTTTCACCCCATGTTTATTTCTTCTTAACAAAGTCAAATGAATTTCAACTGAAATTTGTGTGTGATTTAATGTTGGGGTTTTTTTTTCTCCCTTTCCATTTCACTTCCCATTCTTTGCTATAGAAAGCCTAATTTAAGCTTATTCAGTTCTTTTTATTTAGTGTCTCACTTTAAATCTTGATAGCCTTTTCTGTCATACTCTGAAATGGTAAGGTGTGAGGTGAGGTAAGGCATGACAGAAGTTCGGGACAGAAGAGTGGTGTAGAAGAAAGATCAATTTTGTCTTTTCCCCCCCTCCCCCCCATGTTCTTTATCTTACCCTCTCATGATAGGTGGAAGACTGAAAGAATACTTCTTAAAGACTTTTGCAATTCTACTTTGCATAGAAGTGTCTCGAATGCTTTTAAAACAGTAATTATATTGGAAAGTAGCATTTCTTTTGAAGGATGCGAGGAAGATAAATGGTAGATATAACTTGCATCAATTATATGGTTTAAACAGTTGTACCAGTATGGATGAAACGCATTGACATGACTGACATCTTGCTCAGCTGGACCATCTAAAGTTGTTGATAGTTGTTCAATGACTGGGTTTATGTGATCATGAGGTAATGGCGGGGGGGTGAGGGGGGTAGGGGGGGGAAGATATCCTTTTCATACCACTTTGTTTCATGTTGTTCTTTCTGGGAAGAGAGAAGGTAGAAAGGATGAAAAATACTCTTCAGTGCTCCCTTTAAATGCATCTAGCTGTGCAGTTTCTTATCCAGAGAATCAGTAACTGAAGCTGCAGTCTTTAGGTTTTGTGTTTACCTACAATAATTTCTTTGGCTCCAAATTCCACTTCTTGGTGAATCATTAATCTAATTTCCTGGTATGTCCTTGAAGAAGCCACCACATCGTATTCTGAGGGAGCATGCTGTTCCAATTGAGATCTTTTAAATTATTATTTTAGATGGGTGTTTTGGTGTGGTTTTTATTTGGGATTTTTTTGTTTTTGTTTTTGGTTGTGGGGTTTGGTTTTTTTTTTGTGTGTGTGTGTTTTTGTTTTGTTTTTTGGTTGTTTTTTTTTTTGTTTTGCCCTGGGAAAAGTATTACTGACAGATGTAGCATTTGTTTTGAAAGGGAAGTCTGAGCTGAAGAATATTAGGAAGTTAGCGGATTGTCTCTTCCTACAGGCTGTCGTGACAGCAAAACTAGATAATTTGACATGGTCACAGTGAGTATCTGCCTATAAGTTTGTAAGGGTGAAAGTAGTGACTGGACAGTTGCATAATAAAGCCAAAGGCATTAAAATGCATACTGTTTTGTAAAATAGTTGTGGGATGAGAAGCTGAGTTTGAGAAATGCAGTCTTATCTGTGGCCCTTGAATGACTGAGGATCTTTAGAACAGAAAGATAAGAAAATGTTGAGGATCCAGAGAGGAATTTTAGTCTTTTCTGCCTTAAGCAGTATTTAAATTAATTTCTGTGATAAAGGTGGAGCCAAGGTCAGAATGTATAAATTGCTTAAAGACTAGTACAGAATTGAGAGATTTTAATGCTTTGGATAATGGAGGTGTCTGTTTTCTCTCGTTAAAGATGACATATTAAGAAAGAAGGTCAACTGTTTAATTTTCTCGTTCATATTGCAGAATGGATATAAATTGTTTATGCAAAACAATTGGGTTGGTCTGTGATACAGACTAAGATATAGCTTGCTAATTATTTCCTTATAGTAGGAAGTAGAGGAGGAAAATTCTTTAAAATCTGCCTTTCTGCCTTAAAGCCTGAATCTCTTAATCCCTGCCTGTAGTCTTGCTGATACAAATCTTATTAGGTACTTTTTCAGTGTCATCCTTAAGTCCTTAAACTCTTGCAGATTATTGTGATTCCCTTAGTCTCTCCTTTTGAAGCACTGTAGGAGATATAACTAGGTGATCTATGTTGCATCAGAAGATGAGATGTAATTGCCTGCCAATGACAGACACAGTATGCAACTGCTAACAGGTAACCTCTCTCTAGCTGCAGTTTACATCTACAGTTACTTTCTTTGAGGAAGTTTGAAATGTGTAAGACCTTACGCTGTCACCTCTGTCACTCCAATTTTAAAGTTGTATGTTTGTGAGTGCAGCCCTTAAAGGGTTTAAACAGATAGTTCCAAAAGGACTTGACCTACATGAAGTGATGTAACATTTGCTTTTGGCAACCCAATACAGATTCTTTGTCATAACTGATGCTATTAGAAACTGTACGGGCGGTGTCATAAGATGCTTCAGTTGAATAGATGAGGACACTAAGCTAACTTTTACATTGTATGGGAGTGATTGGGTCCTTGGTATTTTTTGGCACCTCCCAACACTTACAGATTGTGCAGTATCTGGTTTTTGAGGTTTGTTTTGTTCAAGTTTACAAAGTTCTTGTTGTTCAAGAATTGATCTTTCAAATGTAAAAAGTATGGATAACACAGTATCCCCATGAAGGAGTGACTGAGGAGGGTGAATTCATTGTCTTTTTATTGAAGGATGTTTTCTAAATCTGAATGATGTCACATTAAATGTTTTTCTATATTGCTGATCACTTTTACTAGGGAGGGAAGTGGAAATAATTCCCAGAGAAATTGGTAATTGTTGCAGGGGATGAAGTGTAAAGGGAACAATTAAGGAGGCTATCAAACAATGAAGAGTACAAAAATAGAGGCAAGATGATTAAAAAGCATGTTAGTGGTTCTAAAAGGAAATTTTTTTTTTTTAGTGAACAGTGGATTTCAAATGTAAAAATAAAAACACTAAATAAAATTTGGTAATATTTAAGTGCACACGCATCCTTTTATTTCGGTGAAAGTCATATAGCTAGATCAGCAGATAGCCACCTTAAGGGTAACCTGCAATGCAGACCTCATTATATGGTCCTTGTGTCACAGCCAAGCTTCCCATTTGGCCTTCATTGATAAGTTTGGCAAGGCCTATCATCCCAATAGGTGACGCTTTCCATGTGTCCCTTGTCCTTTTTATTGAGGTAAAGGGGAAAGGTACTGTAGCTGTAATACTTGTTAGTACAGAGTCTCCTGGGTTCCATTTCTGGTGGGTTTATTGTCTTGAAATGTGAGGACAGCATCCTTTGAAAAGAACTTCAGCCCAAAGTACTGAAGAATTTAACTGCGAAAGAAAATGCAAATCTGGATATAGGCAGAGTAAGAAATAAATTGAGAGAAACATTGTGAGGACAGGCAGGAGGAGAAATGATGCAAATAAACATGAAATGTAACGCTTATGGCAGGGGAATTTGCTATGCATTTTTTTCATTAAGATTTTTACACATTTTTTGTGAAGTTACAGATGTATATAGCATACTATTCTGTAGGGTTTTTTTATAGTTGAGCTCTCTAGAAATGCTGTACACTGTAAAATGTGAGGAAATCCTAACCTGCTCTTTGTTTGCTTGTTTTCCTAGTTTTTCTCTTGTGTGCATTACCACGCAAGAAAAAAACCCTCCTGTCTTTACTTTTGTTAGATTGCTTTGAACTGTACTATGACACATCTTGTTTTATATGGATTAAGTTGTATGCAAGGAAAACAGGATAACAATGAGGAAGAAAAAGTAGGAAGAAAAATAATTTATGTTGCATATATCTATGTGCATGTATTATGCGAGTAAGTATGTGCATAGATAGGTTTTGACTGGAAATCTTTGGCCATTCTGTTGAACTGAGAGTGTCTTAGTAATAATGTGTAGGAGTAGAATTTGGGATATTTGATACTGAGAATACATAGTTATTATTTTAGGGGGGAAATCATAGTTATTGATATCAATACTTTAATATATTTGTGCTAATTAGTTTTTAGTGTATCTATGTATCTTACAAAAAATCTGAAAGGGGAGGAGGGTAGCTTTGAAAATACAGTAAAACACTGAGAACTCAGTAAGCTTATTGTTAGAACATAGACACTTATACAGTTTTAAAGATATTTAAAAAAAAAAAAAAGTTGTTTTATAAAATAGTTTCTTGCACTTTACCTGCTGGCTTTTCAATTTGGTAGATAACATCTGAACTCCAGCAGAGTTTTATAATCCCCACGTGCTTAAATATACTAAATGTTCTTTTTCCATTAAGGTTAATGTTCGTGAAGAAATTGAAGAGTTTTTTCCAAGAATGTGGAAGATAAATCAAGATAAAAGAAGGCTAATGAAAAGTATTAAAGATCAGAAAATTAAAATTGAATGGGGGAAAAAATTGAACAGAAGATTGGTCAGATAGAAGCACTTGAATATTTTTTTAAGGCTATAATGAATTGTTTGAATTGGGGAAGAATACACGAAGTATGAAAAATGAAAAACTCAATGAAGAATGAAGAAAAGTAGAAAGCAAGAGTGAAGTAGAATTAAAAGAATCTGGAAGAATGAATGGGTCCTAGGTTAAGTAAATGTATGGTTTATGTTCCAGTGTCTGTATGATCAAGTTGTAGATGAATTTGCATGATTGCTTAGTTAATAGAGAATTGGTGATCTGGTTCAAGCAGGGATCTATTTGAGGAAAGCATACAATATTAACAGTGGGTTAGCAAAATGAAATTTGTTTTGGAGGGTATTGCCTAACCATTTGTTTTTCAGGAGCAATCAATATAATAGAATTACTGTACTTTTAAATGTTAGGAGTTAGGCATTTATACAACCAATACCATTTTTAATACTGTCTTTTTTGTTAGGAGTCTCGCTCCCAGTCAAAATCTCCAGCTGGGAGTCCTGCTCGTGTAAAATCGGAGAGCAGGTCAGGATCTCGCAGTCCATCGAGGGCTTCCAAACATTCTGAATCGCACTCTAGGTCAAGATCAAAATCAAGGTATGTCCAGGAAGTTATTCATGTTGATTCAGTGTTATTGCTTATGCCTCTTCTTTTGGTACATTGATGAGATTTCCCTTTGTTGTAAAAATTATAAACCTTCTGGGGTGTGTTAACAGGGCTATGTTAATTTGCATGTTAGTGGTTATATAGGTGGTCAAAGTTGGGGAAAGATTCCATGAATAATAAAGGATGGGTGTGAATAGAGAAAGTAATATAAATAGAAGAAGTAATGTAGAAATCACAACTAAAACTTGTAGGTTTATCTCTTCCAGAAGAGAGAGAAGGGATTGCATCTCAATTCTGTAAAAGCTCCTGCCTCCTTCCCCCAAAATCTTTTGGGGGGGAACTCTTGTGTGGACCTCTCCTTTAGGAAAAAAAGAAAAGTCAAATGAGAACTGCAGCAAAGGTAGTCTGGGTTAGATAAAAGGAGTAAGCTCTGTAACTGTTGGAAATGTTGGAAGACGCTACTTGGGGAAGTTCTTGACATACCTTCATTGGAGGCTTTAAAAACAAAATCTAGGCTTTAAAAACAAAATCCGAGAACTACGGCTTAAATTGGGTGTGGATAGCTTCTTGATTTGTAGGAGCTTTAAGATTTAAATTCATTTTTTGATGCTGCACATGTCATTCTCTGTCCTCTTCTACGCCAAGTGTGTGTGTGCAGAGGCAAAGTTGTATAGCTCTCAGTTCTGAGAGCTTGCTCAGAACAGAGGAGGAATGTCTGTCTTTTTTCCTCTAAATATGTCATAAATACTACCTGGCTGATACTACCTATCTTCTCTCTTCCCTTGTATCATCATACTGATGAAAATGGGGAGAGCTACCGAATCCTTCTTTCATCAATGGAGAGAGAAACCAGAAAACAGCATTTGTAGCTCTGGAGGGGGAAGAGGAATTGCATAGTATTATGCTGCTGTTCCTCCCCAGTTCTTGGGAGAGATCAGTAATCCATCTTCCCTATTTATACACTTTATACCAGGGCAGCTGAAAAAGAGTTACTGTGCTCTGAATTCCCAAAATTCAGCCTGGTGCTATAGCTTCTCTTCTTGCAAGGTTTAGCCAGATAAGAACTACCTGTTGTTAGGATATAATGCCTGTATGAAATTATGCAACTTTGATGGAATGATGCCTGTTTAAAACTGAGCTTATCATTGGCGAGATGTCTGCAAAGAAATGCTTGAGGAGTTAAGCAGGGTTTTTTTTGTCTTGAATAATTTTCAAGCCTATGTGAACTTCATTTGTAGATACTGTAGATATTAAATCTTTTGATTTTTCAGCCAAGACAGTACTTTACACTGTGACATATCTGGTTTCTGTATCGTTGTGCAAGTGTTAGTTACATGTGCAGCTAAGCTGATAAAAGTTTAAACTTTGAACTTCCTGAAAACTGTTGTGAATATAATCCTCACTGTATGCCAGAAGCACTCTCACAAAGTTAAAAATGATGCTACCGAGCAGGTTATTAGAGATCCGCACAATCTTTACATGTGCAAAGTAGAAGAAACTTAAATATTTTAGTTGTAGAGAGCCTCTGAAAAAAGATTTTTCTTTAGGAAATGTAAGGCTTACAATTCAATACATTATGTGCATATGACCTAACTAAAAGCTTTCTCTTTGTTGAAGATCCAGGTCCAGAAGACACTCGCACAGACGTTACACTCGTTCCAGATCCCATTCCCATTCTCATTCCCATAGGAGACGTTCTCGAAGCAGATCATACACACCAGAATACCGTCGTCGAAGGAGCCGTAGTCATTCTCCAATGTCCAACAGGAGAAGGCACACTGGCAGCAGAGTATGTCGTGTTCGTCAAGGCTGAGTATCAACCAAACAATTGCTGCTTACATCAGTGTAGTCCAGGTTACGTGCAGGCTGAGTGTGACCTGCTTGTCACTGGAGGATATGGGAATTTGCTGGGGGGGGAAGCAATCTCTGTCCTTACAGCTGGGCACTTCATTTCTTGGGCCTGCAGCTGGCAGGGCAGTTGTAGAAATTCATTGAAAATCATACCATTGCAAGTCAGTATGTGCAGATAGGGTGACATCTGCCTCTGCTCTAGAAGTTGAACCCCTTCTGATTTTCTTTTTGTTACAGTTCCTAGTATATGTACCCTTCACAAAAAGGAGACCTTTTCTGTGCATGCTTGCAACATGACAGTATTGATAAGATTGACTAGAGGAGCCAAAGAAGACAATTCTCAAGTGTTTATTTGCTTATAATATACAGCATATTATGTTGACAGTTGCTTGTGATTTTATACCTCTGAGTAATTAATTTGGTTTAACTTGAAGAAATAAACCCATGTGTTATTAGCTAATGTGTAAATCTTAATAGACTAGAAAAATTTACTGTTATGAAAAGGATCAGTAAGCCTCTCAAAATGTGAATGAGAAGTATCTCTGTATGGACAGGAGGAAGTATAGGTACACCAGCCAAGATCTAAGATACTAATCTTATGTCATTCCGAGAGATTTCTCCCAGTGGCCTCCTTTATAATCCGTTTCGGTGCCTTGGCTTCTGGTTCCACATCACTTCAGGCTGATCTAAATGAGTGCCGTTACACACAGGTCTGCCTCTTCCTTGGTGAGGGCCATGGTACTTTTCTGATCCTTTTAGTTTTAATCTGGTTTAGTTTCTCCAAATTTTTTACTAATACTGTCAAAAAGAGTATAGTTTTTTGCAGGCTTATGTTGGTGAAGCAGCTCACCAGGACCAGATAATACCAATGTGAGGGAGAAGACAAGAGTGTGTGGAAAAGGGCAAGACTACAGCAGTGCTAATGTACAGTGGCTTAAGCTGTTGCGAAGCAATGTTCATAGTTACACTTTTTGTGGATTGTTGCCAGTGTGTAATCATGATGTAGTAAATATGAATCTAATGTCTTGAAAAATTGGCAGGAATAACTGAACTTCAAAAGGGTTAGCAGATTTCCTGGTGAAAGGTGAATGAAACCACTTTACTACCTTAGGAAATATTAGAATATCGTGCTCTGCGAAGAAGTCTTTTTTTTGCCTTGGAAATGACTCTGTGAAACATGAAACTTGTTTTCACAGTGAATTTCACATTAATTCTAAGGAGTGGTTCTAGTAGTGTCAAAACAAAACTCAAATCAACCAGATTTGAATCTCCTAAATAGCAAGGTCCTAAAGACACTGGGGAAAATTGGTAGCAATTTTGCCACTTCTGATCTTGTAGAGGGAGCTTGCATACTGTGTTGATGGGAGGCAGTACAAAAACCTAATATAAAAGCTGTCTTTTAGTCCTCCACAGTCAGTTTAATCCTTCCAGTGGTGGTGTAACTGTCACTTGTCGCTTAGGGTGTGCAGACTGATTCTCAGTACTTTTCTTGCCTCAGAAAAGGTAATAGGGTTTAAGTGTAAGGGGGTTGTAAAAAAAGGACAATACTGATACGTACTGTGTGGAGGGACTTGTCCAAACAGTGATTTAAAAGACTGAGAGTTTTCATTAGACTCACAAGAGTTTAAATAATAAAAGGAGTATAGCTGTTAATGCCACTGAATTATCAGATAGACTGAAATATAGAGTAAAAAGTAAACCTAAACCTGTATAATTAAAACTTTCAAATGACAAACTGCCAGCTTTTGTTGTGCTCTTCAACTATAATAAGGAATTGTAGAAGATGCATGTCTTAAAACAAAAGTTTGAACTTTGACAAAGGGGAAGAAAGGAACTTCAAATATATGAGTAGTTTGGGCATCTTATTTTCACAATGGATTCCTGAACAAAAGCTCTGAAAAGAACACGACAGAAGATCTAAACCTGTTCATTCTTTGAATCAGGCTGAAAGGCAAGCCCTGAGGCATAAATTACTGTGCATCAGTCGCTTTGAAAATCTGAAACTGAAATACAAATTTCAACTGTGTCAACTTCCAGTTACTATTTTAGCAGAAACATTAAGATCTCTATGCCTGTTGCTGCATCTAGTATAACAGGTGCCAGAAGCTTAACTGAAAAAAAACGTAAATTTTGATCAAAGTAATTCTTACAGTGGAATTGGCATTAGATGAACTCTCTCACATGTAGGAATAGAGAAATTGTACCTTGCACAATTGTGCAATTTCATATTTGACTTCCTTTAGTTGAAGCGAAATGTATTAAGTAGATCTGTATCCCACATCATGTTGAAGAATCAAGAGTCTCACTCTAGAAAAGCGTGCATACTTTTGGATTACGTTTTCACAGAACTGACCTTCAACACTTGTTACTATCTAGATGAAAGAAGCAGGTGGTTTTCATCCAGTTTACAAGTGGAAAGAGATAAACTTTCAAATGTAAATATTGACTTTCAGTATAGTTGGATAGGAAATGTTGAGGGGGAGGAAGTTTTGGTAGAAGCTAAATTACAGTTCAACTGTCCATGCTTAGGAGCTCAAATGCATTTAGTGTGTGCAAGTGGAGGGAGCGTGCACTCTTTAGTACCAGTGGTGACTGTGCAGAAAGGCTGAAGGTAGGAATTCAGGATGTCTGACCTGTTCTTAGCACAGACTTGTATGTCATGTCTGCAGCTTGGTGATTTGAGTGTGAAATACTAATAGGTTCCTGTTATTCTATAGCTTTTCTGTAATCAGAATGCTTAATTTTTATCAACTGAGTTTTTCACCAACATGAAGAGTTCATCTTTGTCTTTTTTCTAAAATAAAAATCATGACAGTAGTTGCTTTTTGAAAATGTCTTACAATTGGAATGATAACTGTTGAAGCATTAAGCATCGTAGTAAACGATGTTTACTTTTCTTCAGATTAAAAAATTTTAATAATTGAGAAATCTTGATCTGAGAATGTATAATGTTGTTTTTGAGAATGTTGTTTTTTATGAACTTAATTGGAGTTGAATATTTGTCTTACCAGGCTAATCCAGATCCTAATACATGTCTTGGAGTGTTTGGTCTAAGTTTGTATACTACTGAGAGAGATTTGCGTGAAGTCTTTTCCCGTTACGGACCTTTGACTGGTGTCAATGTGGTTTATGATCAACGGACTGGACGATCAAGAGGATTTGCTTTCGTTTATTTTGAGAGAATTGATGATTCTAAAGAGGTAAATTCATCCTTTACTACTTTTAACAGGTGTGTTTCTTGTGCATTGTCTTCGTGAATATTTCTTGGGGGAAAAAAAAAAACCCCACATTTTTGAACGTGTGTTCACTAGCAGGTTCTCACAGTGAGATTAATTTAAAATATTTTATTCAAACAACATGGCACTTTTAAACAGATGAAGCATTTTAGTTCAATGTTCAGGTGCTTGGGCAAATTCTGAGCATGAGCTGTCTGTATTGAATCACTAATGAGCATTGGGCTTTGATTTTAGTCTGTTAATTCAAGATGAAAGTAAATCTTTAAACAGACGTAGAAGCCTCCTAGTATTTTTGAAGTATTTTGAAAGTAAGCTTTTCAAAGTAGTTTCCTGTTATCTACCAAAATTCTGAAGATTCTCTTAACTTTCCATTTTCTTCTCTAAAAGCATGTCATTGTGCATTTGAAAAATAGTGTGGGGTTTGTCTTGATTTGTGCCTTGGTCAGTGACTTTGCTAGTTATATGGATAATTGTTTACAGCTGGACTGGGTTGGTTTTAGTATAATTGATCTGTAAGGAAAGAATCAAAGAATACGAACAGCAGCCTGTATTATAGTTCACCACAGTAAGCAGTACTTTTTTTACCTGTGTGAGGATACTGTGAGCTTTACTACATTTACTGAAATTTGTAGGTGAAATTTCTATTAAAAGTAAAGACACATCCTTTTTAAAAAAAAATTTTTTTCTTTAACCCTTCACTGTGGGATTGTCTTTCTTGTGGGCAAGCTGAGTCACTGACTTCAAGCATCTTGTTTATGGATTCATAGTCTTGGGCAGATGTTTTAGATTTCCTGTTTGATTCTGTTTATATTTGATAAGTATATTTATAATGCTTGGATATGACTTTTCTCACTTGGCATTGAAGGGAGGGAGGGTGACAGCTGTGGAACCTATTATCAGGAGCTGAAAAATAAAAACTCTGATGCTAGTTGATGATACTTTAATGAAAAAAATGTTTCATGAATGACTTGGTTGAACTAGACTCAGTTCCGATCTTTGACTGATTTCTGGTATGATCCAACAGAGAATCAGTTTATGGGAAGAGTAGGGTTTGTAGATGTATATATGTGTGGTTGTTGCAGGTTATATAGGGGTAAGTAAAAGGACACAAAACTTCCTTTAGTGTCCTTTCTGCATTTTCCCACTATTACTTGGACAGGTTGAGGGAGGAGTTGATGGAGTGGATAGTTGTATATCCATCTTTAGTGGCCTACTCTCTTCTAACTTTTAGCCTTGTATTTCTTTGCACTCTGAGTTCGGTGGGATTTTGAAAATGTGACTGTTTTGTAGAACGTTTAACATCCAAAATACTTGCACAGTATTTCTTGTCATGTTCATGTGCCAGTCCTGTCTATTTTACAACTTCACATGTCTTTAGAAGTAGGGTTTTTTCCTAGTTGCCATGGGCAATGGTCATGCATGACACCATGCATTTCTTAAAATGTTCCGTGTAAATAGCATGAAGTAATTTGTTTAGTATAAAGCTGTTTTGGCAGATACTACAAAACTGGAATGCAAGGGGAAAAAAATGGGATATTACTTGCAGTCAGAAATACAGAAATAAAGATTAGCACCTTAAGCAGGAACTGAAATAATTGGGAATGTGACTAGACCTATTTTTTTCTCTCCAACGGGCTGGTGCATGAAGAAGGGGAAAAGGTGCAAAACCTCCCAACACTTGGAATTTGCATAACTGAAATACTTTGGCAAAAAGGACAGGAGAAGAACTTGGTCATTTGACTTATTTCATGGGCCTTGAGGACAGATTTGAAGATGGCAATAAGTGGCAGCTAGTGTAGAAAAAGGGGGTATAGCTATAGGCGTGAAACTCTGTGACAGGCCCTGTAGGAGAAAGCTGAAGGACATGAAGTAATTCTCTGTGTTGAAGATCAAATCTGAAAAGTTGAGTATGCATAAAAGCAATGACACTTGAATTGCTTTTGTTCTGAGTAAATACCTTTCCTCTTAAAAACAAAAAAAAGCGCCAAAATCCCCACACCCTAAGTGTCCGAATAAAGAGACTGTAAAACTCTAGATGAGATCTTGAATTAAATTCCAGCCCTTTTAAAGCAGTCATAGAAGGATGAAATATGTGTAGGACTTTACAGAAAAATGAGGATTTCACATCATCTTCACTGTTGTCCTTCCAAGAGAGGTAACACGGGGAAGCTTCTCAGCTGACATGCTCTCAAACGCTGTTAATATTAAAATTTAACACCAAATGAATTGTGAGTAGTTATGTTTAAACTTTCATAACTTGGTATAAGATAGGTCACTATTGTGTGGATTCTGTGGCAGCTGAAATCCCTCAGGATCTTTGTCCTCAGTGATTACCACTCTTGCAAATTGGATCAGTTATTGAGCTGGTTAAAATGTTGCCATGTGTCAAGATTCTGAAACCAAGCAATTCAATGTTTCTAGTTCCATGTGGTGGTAAAGACATTTTGAATTGTCAACTAGCTCGATGTTGTGGAAGTCCATAGACAATATCAAAAGGGCAGTAGTAAAGTTTATTTTCACTGGTTTAGACTTTCAGAACTTCAGATTGATTATGACACCACAGAAGCCTTGTCGTTAGCTGTTCGTGATCCTCTTTGTTATAAAGAGGAGCAGAGATTTAGTTTTTGATAACTACTATGTGGAGCAGCTCTCAGAGCATCACAGTAGCTTCAGTCATTCCACCTTTAACAGGACTGGGAAAGAAATGTTGGATGCATGTATCTGTTCTAAAGGAGGTTTCTTGTGGAGTCTCTTCTACTCTGTTTGAAACTGCTAACATTGAGATGAAACTTTATGGTCTGACAGAAGGTTCCTTTTCCATCAAATGTCCTTTATTGCAATGGTCTAGTGTTTGCAAGATAGCACATGACTAGATTGTTATATTTTGACCCATATTGAAGATGGCTGTGGACACTGTCTTTAGTTCAAAGTGTGATAGCAGATAATAAATGTTGAGGATTGATGGTTGAAGTTTTGCTGTGCTAATGTTATTTTCAGTGTGCTTGTTCAAAGCCTATTTGAAAAGCTTATGTTATTATCTGCCTTTTTGTAGAAGAAAGGGTATTGTCTCTTATGGGTGTAATGGTTTTCATGTTTTGTGAAGTTATGTTGTTTTTCTTAAAAAAAAAAAAACAAAACAAAACAAACTTTTCTAGGTAATACTTGGTATTGCTTTTTTTGCCTTGTGTGTTGCAGTGTCTTGTCTTATGTTGGCCACCCTTCTGCTAAGTCTTCAGAACCACATGTGCAACATTATGCAAAGGGCAAGATCTGTAAGCATCTGTTGAAGACCTTTTTCTCAAGATTGGCATTCTTTCTTATATAGTTCTCAGTATTGGCAACATTGGCACTGAGCCAGTGTTGTAATATTGCAGTTTTGCAATATTTTCGCTAAATTGTAGAGGATATTCACCTGCCCATCACATTAGGGTTTTCTTCCTGCGTTTAGAGGAACAAACTTCTATGTACTAGGGTGAGAAGGGGAAAAAAAAAGTTGAGGGGGGGACTGATTATCTCAGGGTTAACAAAAAATTGAGAGGATTATGAGTAAAAAGTGCTGGCTGTTCTAGGGAGATGATTCTTACTACAGTTACCAGGGATTTCATAAGCCACTATCCAGCTTTTCGGTAACTCAGAATATGAAGTATTAGCAGTTGTTTAAACTGAGGCTACTGTGAATGTGCTATGTGCCTGTAGCAAGAACTCCTCTGAGAAGCATTAGCTACAGCAGCTGTTGGCAATACGGAATTTTGTGTTTTCTAACGCTAGTTATATGCTCCATACAGTTTTTATCATCTTTCAGAACCATTTTCTGAACTAGTGTTCATTAGCAATCGAGACAAACTTTATGCAGACAAACTGAACTATTAACATAATTCATTTGCCAAACACCGGAATAACAACAGGGTTTGTCATTTTAATTTGCAAGTCATTTAAATCTGTGGTGCAAGCGGACCAGCTTAGAAGCATCACTATTGACCAAAACTTCTCCCATAGCTTGTTGAAGAAATGTTTTAAGTATTGTTTGTGGTGTCAAAAGGGACCCTTGATATACCACAAAAGAACACAAGAAGGTCTCAAATGTTTGGAATTACAAGTTACAGACTTCTGGAGACTCTGAAATACCGTGAAATTGCTAATACTTACAGAAACATATCCAGTTACTCATTCTGGTTCTCTAAAATCCTGTATTTCTTGACTCTGAAACTCTTCAAAAAATGCTTTAAAGAGAATACGTTTAATCAATAGATGTTTAAGCTCAGAAAATTATATATTAAAAAATTATCGTTGACAATATTCTAATAATATTTTTAAAAACAAGCCCTCAAACTAGAGAATATAAATTGACAATTGTTCAAAGGTGAAATGGACACTTGAATTCAACTTGGCAGACTGCAGTAAGTGTAAAAAGCTGTGTTTCTTAATTTCTTTTTTCATCCCATCAGATTTTTTGATATTCCCCCCACCGCACCCCACCCCGAATGTCCTTTCAGATGCCCTTGATAAATCTAGACCTGAACTAGTGATATCAGTATACTGGGGGGAGAAAAGTTAATCTATTAGGTCTGCTCATGCCATGCTGTAACTGTGGTACAGTGGAGATGATGTTTTTATTGGTGGCATTAAATACAATATGGGAAGGATTTCAGGTAAAAAATAAACAAGAAACCCGAAAAAAACACCGCAAAAACAAAAGACAGTATCTTATATAGTTATTTTTAAATAATGAAAATACGTTTTCAAAATGAGTCCCAACATACATTGCTCATGTTTGACTATTCAAGTGTATTCAGTCTGTACGTCACTGACTTCACAGTGATGTCACATCGTTGAAGTAATTCAAAGCAGTTAGATGCAGTTGAAATGAAGGCTCGATGATCTCTTGTACAATACAAATGGTATTTTGAACTCCATAGTAGAAATGTAAAGTGACTGTGACATCAGCTCTGCCAAGTCCAGTTCTCTCCCTCCCTTCCTCCCCACACCGTTCCACCACTGACCGCACTACAGGTTGCAGAAATTTCCCAAATTATTTCCTTGTCCAAGCTGCTCTTTGTGGCATTATCCAGACTGAAAGATGATTTCATTTCTTTCAGTGAATTCTTGATTGCTTAACTAATACCAGTCACCTGTGTAAGTTTGTGCACATAATTAAAAGTTCAGTGTTTCCAAACTTGTTTTATTCTACCTAAATGCTAATACATGTTGAAAACACCACATACTCTAATAAATATCAAATGAAATTGAAATCTGTTAAATTTAATGCTTTATTTCTAACTGTTTTGAGCTACTGGAGGCTCTGATCCTGTCGTTTGGGAACTGCTCATTTTGTCAAGCTAACACATTACAGATAATAATTTGAAGGAGTCTTGTTATTATGGATAGACTGCTGTAGGCTTAAAACTGTAATCTAGGATTGAATTATTACCTGTGCCATTCCCAATCCTCATGCTCTGTTTTCTGACTGCAAACATATAGATGTGGATTCTGGCCTACAAAGTCAATTTTTCCTTAGAATTTGCAACTAAAACTAGTAGTACATGTTTGTAGGAATCCTATTCGCTTGCTTGCCTACTCTCATCTTGCAAAAGACATGCGAGTCTTTTAACAACATTCAGATATTTGGAAGAAAATCCAGGTTGAAATAAAAATGGATGGTTGACAGTTAGAGGCGCCTAGGAGGGTATTGTGTGTCTTAAACCCCAATATAATTTGATTTTTCTGTTCAAAATGTTACGTTTGATGGTCTGGAAAGTACACTACTTTCTTTTAAACAGTATTTGAGAATGTCTTCTGCATTGTTAAGGTGAATGTGCAGGTTTTTTTCCCTTTGACATTTAAATGTTCTTAACACAGCATTCATGCATACCCAAAAACAGCAAGAAAAGCAAACTGAAATTTGTTTTGAATATGACATGCTAGTCTAATAAAATTGTAAAATCTAAAATTTGATTATAAACTGTTTTAACTTTAAAAAAAAAAAACCAACACAAAAATGTCAGTAATTAGAATCACTAATGTGTTTTTACAGCCTTTGTACAAAATAAATACTGTTGTATCGCTTGTCTGAAACCAGGTTTTCAGATAGGGCTTTTGATCATATTGCAGCAGTCATTAGCTAATAATGTCAACTTCAGTACTTCGTTTTAAAGACTTGAGATGTGCACATTAAGAATGATACAGAGGATTTGAAAACATCTTTGGAAGGAATTTCCAGTTGCTAATGACTGAATGTGAGTGATACATACTATCAATTATTGTTGGATTCATAATTCAACCTTATTGTAGGTTTTGGCTTTTCTGCATTTGGGGGATACAGTCAGAACTATACAAGCCTTTGTTATGTCTGTATATCTATAAAAGATTTTGATTATTTTAAATTCTTTTGTTGGCAGTTATTGCTGACAGCTGTTGAAAGCTAAGAAAATTAAGGTTTTAATATTGGGTAGGTCATTAGACATTGTGACCAGGGTGTCTGAGTTTCATGCAGACTGGTAACTATGAACTAATCTTTATCCACTGAAATGTAACACATTTCTTGGTACTTCTGAAACAAACAATCAAGCCTCAAAATTAACTTTTCATCTGTCTTGCTGGTATGTTGCTCTTCTCTGTGCTGCTCCCTATGTCAAAGAACTCTTTCCTCTCTGAGGTGTTTGTTCTTTTAACTAAATAAGACGCATGTGCCAGATGTTCTGGATTTGAGGTGGCTTCTTGTCAGCTAAGCTTATTACTCTGCAAGTTGTTGGTCAGACATAAAAATGCCGTGAAGCAGAAAATTCCTTACCTTTCAAGATAACTTGCACATTGCTGCATTTCCAGAAAGATGCTTTTTGTCATGAAGCTAATTTCTCAGCCATCTATTTGCAACCTTCATTTTTAGGTTTGTGCACACATACATTCCTAGGATGTATGCACAGATTTATTTTAATTTACATCATCCTTGTGGAACAGGACTTTAAAAAAAAAAGGTCTCAAGGCTAGGAAACTAAAGCTAAGGATCATGTTTTATTCACAAAACATACTTCAGTGTATGTTGAAAGGCTTGAAATGCTCTTTGGCTCTGCCTTACAGTTAGCTAAATGTATTTGTTACATTTTTGTACGGGAACAGAACTCACTAGGTGGCGATATAGTATAGATACAAACAGCATTATTAAAACATAAACTAAGAGTAGTTAAATAGGTTAGTGATAATTCAGTCACTTCCAGTTTGGGGACGTCACGGTTAAATCATGTGGGTGTCAGGTTTTTGTTTCCTCCTCTATAACTTGTATGTTAATTCAATAAGGTTCTTGTTAGAGAGCTGCCAAAAGTTACATTTCTGAATAGTTGTTTGTTTCATTATTTAAAAAAAGAAGAAAAAAAATACTCTGCTTAGAGGCACCTTCATGTTTTGAGGTTGTGTATTATTCCTCACAGTTAAATAATAGCAAAGTGGTTGTGTTCTTAAACTCAAGATTGTAACAGTGTCTCTTCTCCACACATGAAAAATGAAAATAATGTATATTGGGCTAAGTGCTGTGCTTAGTGTCACGAATTGAGTAGTGTGTACTAGTATTTCAGAGATCCTAGAGCAGCTGATGAAAGGATAAAAAAAAAAAAAATTTGCTTTGCAAATTTTAACAGCTTTTTAAGTCCAGCATTAATTGTTAAATTCTTGAGGTTGTGGGGGTTTTTTTGGTTTTTTGGGTTTGGTGTTTTGTTTTTTTTTGTTTTTTTTTTTAGGTTACTGTTGCATGAATATAATTCTCAAAAGTATGCTGTGCTCCTTCGAAAAACTATTTTCATGATTTTGAGTTTGTGAAAGGCCATTGTATTGATTCTCAAAGACGAGAGAAGCAGGGGCTAGAACACCCAGTGAGTGTGTGCACGGGCTGCGGGCGGGTCTGAAGGCACAGGCTTCTCAAGCGCAGACCCTTATGTGTATCGCTTTAGCAAGCTGCTATTGTGAGAGTGAGTGGGGAGGAAGGTTGTAATTAGGTATCCATGTAGGCTGAACCCGCCATTTTACTAAGCTCTGCTGGAGTAGGTCCTTGTAAGGGAGATGGCAGGAGGCTGGGAGAGCATGAAATGGCAGCCGACTAGCAGTAATCCGGCCATATGCACCCTACAGGAAGCCACTGTTCTGCACAGCTTTTGAATCCGCCCGTCCCCTCTGGGTCAGAGACGGCAGTAGGAAAGATGCAGTTTTCAGAAAAAGCTGTTTGGACTTTCAGTTTACCTTTCTGATGGGTAGAAGACAAAGTCTAGCAAAAGTGACTGTGTTAGTGGTTAGCACCGTGCTCTCGTAAGGGGGGATTGCGTGTCACGTTACTCCGGCACCCCAGTGCAGTCCTGTAACATTGCCGGCACACAGGCCAGGGGACAGAGATGAGCCACTCGCCACAGTGGGGCACTAGTAACCAGTCTAAATAAAACAAGTTCAGAGCTTGTTTTTCCGATGGAAAATAATGTGCTTTGTACACAGCCTTCCACAGTTACCAGTAGGTTGCACGTTTCACATCCCTGTTCCTTGTCTCTCCTGCAGGCAATGGAGCATGCAAACGGTATGGAGCTGGATGGCAGGAGGATTCGGGTGGATTACTCAATCACCAAGAGAGCACATACACCCACCCCAGGCATCTACATGGGCAGGCCAACACAGTAAGGACTAAAATGGATTTAAACTGAGTGTTTGGGGTTTGGTTGAAGAAATAGAGCTACAGATACTTTTTTGAAATTGTAGAGTTATGCCAATTGTATTTTATCACAAAGTTACTGATATAAAGAATGTGTTACTGTGGTTCACATATACTATTAAATCCTACTGTAGTTTATTGTAACTTTATTTATAAAACAATACTGAAGGAGTTATTTTTAAAAAATACATACCCAGCATAGTCAGTTAATGCACCCTTAGCTTACTGAAATACTAAGGTGTCCATTTGCCTTTGATTTTGATGAGAATTAGGCTCAAATCCCTGGTGGGTTTTCCAGGGTTTTTGAAGGTGTTTTTCTTTAAATGTTTCGTTGTTAGATTGTTTCATGGCATAGTCTTAAGTGTCTGATTTACAAGAATGCTTTAAAAAAGCTTTTAAATAATTTAAATCAAGATGAAGAATAGATATCTAAAGGAATTTTTTTGCTTTTTCCCTAATAGCAGTGGAGGAGGTGGTGGCGGTGGAGCAGGTCGTCGCCGTGACTCATATTATGATAGAGGGTATGACAGAGGATATGACAGATACGAAGAATATGACTACAGATACAGGTATTTTATTTCTGTAGGAACAGTGGATTTGTTGGAAAAACTGACAAAAAATGTTGCTCAGTTTATAGCAAGATTCTGCATACATGCTTGCTGTGTGTTAGAGCCTCATTACGTTAGGTTTTGTGGGATTAAAGTAGTTGGAATCCTCAGTGTTTATGTAACTCGGTTATACAGTAAACAGTAGGGCAAGGAGTTAATTTTGCTACCTGAAGGAGGTAGAGCATCTGCCCTACGAATCTCATGGACAGATAGAAAGGGAACTCATTTTTCCATGCTGTATATAGAACCAGGGACAGCTGATACACAGTGCTGTTTAAAAAGGGGTTATTTGTAGATGGGATTTTTAATGCTTGACATTTCATAACCATCTCACTGTTTTGAAAGTTATCTAGTTTCAGAGAATGTTGTTCAACAAGAATTGTAGGCATCTGGAAAAGCACTTCATGTGTTTGCCAGGCTAGTGAGAGGTTATTAAATTCTTTGTCTGGGAATATCTTAGTTTTAAACACATCAAATAGAGAAATATAAAAGCATTTGTTAAATAACTGTTAAGCCACAGCCAAATAAAGCTGAAATCATTCATGCAGGCCAAGTCTTTCAGTGCGAAGGAAATGGTTCTGTTCTGTAAAAGTGATGTGAATAAGGCTTCTTTCATAATGGATGTTGTTGGGTTTCTTTTCTAATTTCCTTTAAAGGAGACGATCACCATCGCCTTATTATAGTCGATACCGATCACGATCAAGATCCCGTTCTTACAGTCCAAGTAAGTAAATACAAGTGAATAAGTAGAATCTAGTTGGCTTAAACCTTGTTGTTATTAGTATTAATTGATCAGTGGAAACTCTGAATGTGAAAGCAAAAAAGCTGGGGACATTAAAGCTGAGATGATGTGTGTACAGTTAGTTTATAGTAATTGTGTCATCTTTTTATTTTTTTTCCAGGGCGCTACTGAAGATAGAAGAGTTACAGTTGAGGACATGATTTTTAAACACAAAATTCAGATCTTGGCTTCCCTACTGCTTTCTCTCCCATCCTCCCTTCCTTGTCCTCCATCCAGCTCTTTTACAAATCTTTGGTTCATTTAGAATATACATATTTTCAGTTGAAGTATTCCTGTTCTCCATCCCTCCTTATTGTAATACTCTTAAATATTGTAATTGTTGTAGTTTTTGTGTAGTAAAACATCTTAAGCAAAAAGAAGTAGAGAACTCAAAGTGCTGATGCATTTTGGAAGTCATTCCTATTTTGTTTTTAAAACAATTGGACTCCTGACTAATCAGAAGAGAGCGTTCATATTTTTAAAGCTTGCATGTCATATGTAATATACACACTCAGATACTTTAATATAAACCTGCATTTCCAAGTAACTCATTAATCTTTCTGTTAAAATGTTTACCTATTACTTTGATAAACAAGTAACGACTTTGAGCCTTTTCTGTAATGACAAATTTGCTTAGATAGTCATGAACCAGAGGATTTTTTTTTTTTGTCAGGTAGTTGCTTTGAGTGTAGACTATTTGAGCTAGAGCAAAATTTGGTATTTGACTGACTGGGAAAATAGATCCTTGTACACTCAAAATTAAGGCTGTGTTTTATAGATAAAATTTCTGGATTGCTGCACAGTGGATAACATTTGAAATCAAAACTGTAAAAATCCTGGGGGTTTTATTGTACTGGGTTGAATATTTCCCCTTAATTGGTGCAGGAGGAAAAATATTTATTGAACATAGCAATTAGTTGTATAATTTGCTGTTTGTTTAAAACAAAACAAAACAACAAAACCCACCAACTTTTTGGTGTTGCAATAATGATTAAGCAAGTTTTGTTTCCAGTCCTTTTTGGAGTTTTGAAAGTATGGATGGAAAAACCTACAACATGTAAACCTTTTTTTCCTCTCAATAAAGGTTAATTCCACTGAGATGTGGTTTCTTGTCTTTTGTTCTGCATTTTGTGTCACCTTGGAATGTAGGTTAAACAAGACTTGATATTGCTGTATGGATAATAAAGTCAGCATTTATCTGTCTTCTCAGGAGCCTTGTCTTCCCTGAGAATCAGCACGCGGTTACATGGGATGGCAAAGCAGAGCGGGTAGTCCAGCCTGCTCTTGTGCCATCTTTGGCACTTGAGATGGTTTAAGGAGAGAAACACTATGGACTTTGTTTGCATTTCTGGCAAGTTTTGCCCTCTGAAATAACTCGCCATGTGGCTGGTTGAATGTCGATGTTGGCACAGCGAAAGGAATAGGACTACAAAGCCCTCACAGCAAAAATCATTTCATCCTGATTGTCAAGGAATGCCACCAAAAGAGTTTGTCATAATTTTAAGAGGGTAAGCGTATGAAATGTAATTTTGTTAACTATTTCTGAATGTCAGTGCCAGGAACTATTAATAAGTAATTAAAAGAAACACTAACACACATCCAACTATTTTAAAAGCTTGATGCAATATACCAGGAGAAATTGGTGGCGAAACAAGTTCTAACTTACTGGTTATTGCACAATACTTTTTATCCATTATGTTTTATCCATAAATTGCGGTTGAAAACTCTTAGTTAAATGAAAGCAAAGGATCTGAAACACTGAAGTTAAATAACCTTCCAACTCCAGTGATTTTACTGGTATTTATTGGTGATCCAGATAAATTAGGAAATCTTAAGAAAATTGTTCTCTGTAACCAAAGTGCCAAAGTCTCAACATGGAGAACTGTTGGTATTTTTAATTTTGTTTTTGTTCTTTCAAAATTAAGGAGAGTAGTGTGCAGAAATAGTGAGGCAACTGGATGCAAAAGCATGGGAAATAGCTGCAGGGCTGGTTGGGGGAGGCATTCAGGCTCAGGGAATTACGGTAATAGGAAGTGAGAGAGAGGTGGCTACTTCTTGCCACCTTATGGCATTTGTGGCCTGTAATTGTCAAGGGTTGAGAAGTTGTATTAGTCAGCTAGGGAGCAGTTAAAGAAATCTGTTGCCTGGAAGCTAAAGCCAGAAAGGAGCGTCTCAATACTTAGCTTGCAGATTGTTTCTTCCAACAGTTAGACCTAACAACCTAACGATCCTATTTGTCACGGGTCTGTATGAAGTTGTAAGTGGCAACAGCATTGTAGTCCATGGTGCATTTCCTGTTTCGGGTTGACTGATGTGATACAGTCCATTTGAAGAACAGGTGAAAGTGGTAGTTACGGCATTGGACATACTTGCACATGTATGTAATGAATGAATAATTGTTAGACTTAAATGACTGTTTCTAAAACTGTCAATCCTGAAATGGGAAAGATAATTCGTAGCTGTTTCCTCATTCGTGTATTTTTTTACTATTATTTTTTTAACTGAGATCAGTTGGGCAGAGATCTGTGTTAGGAGTTTTCTGTAACTTCTGTGGCTTGCATTCTCCCCAAGGATGGGAGCCTCATCTCTGCTTTGTTGTGAATGGATTTAGTAACACTGTTTAAATAAGCTCCTGATGCTGTTTATGAAATAAAATAGTCTGGGTAACTCTTACACTGTGTCTCTAAACACAGCTCGTTAAACAGATACATACTTTCTCTAGTCACTTCCATATTTTCTTTCGTTCTAGATAAGGAATTAAAAGCATACTCAGAATTCTGATCACATACTGAAGTTTTGCATCAAAGTAAAAATAAGTTAACCTAAGTAACAAAACATAGTGTTACTTTGTGCTAGTACGCAATAAGCTTAAGTTCATTATTGAATTGCAGGGAGTATTTAAATACTGACTTCAGACAAACCTGACAGTTCATCTAGCTTTTTGTATAGCCTCAATTCTAGGCTATACATTCTATATCCTATAGAATGCAAGGATATAGAATGCAAGATAATACTTGCTCTTAAACATGCTGTGTTCCCAAATGCTTCAAAGAAGTGGCCGCAAGAAGATCACAACAGCTGCTACACAGGCTAGCACGAGACTGTAATGGAAAATTTGATGACAACAGTTAGAGGCATACTGGTTTACGTGTTGGGTCAAAATAACTTCGGAGAGTGTGCGTGTGTGTAAAGATGGTATGCATAAGGTGAAGTTTATTCAGGCTATCATTTTGTCATTTGTCCTATATAACTATACTTCAAATCTGTAATGATGTTAAGCCTTCAGTCTTGCAGTGGCTACCAATGCCTTTGTGTTGCTGCATGATACGGAAGAAGTGTGACCTAGTCAGCTGAAGAAAACTTTTTGGAAAAGCACTTTCCGTTGCATGGCTTCACAAAGGAAGAACAGTTAGGTGTACTTACATCACCGCCGCCCCTTACTGTCAGTCTACTCTGTTTAGCTGCTGCAGTCCTCTAGAACTAATGTGAATTCTCTGGACCAGAGAAGGAAAACAATCTGGGATAACCGTTTTATATTGCTTCCTACAAAAGCAACTTTTTTTTGGTTGGGCAAATGATGTGAACAGATTTTCCTCATGCACACAGTCAGCGCCTTTGTCTTTTAAACAGCGGTGTAAAGGAGAACATGAAATGCAGGCTGAAGCCACACCATCTGCAGTACCTGTAGACATCATTTCTTGCATTGCTTACATTTTACTTCTGCATAAAGTGTTTCAGGTAGGACTACCTCTGTCTACGGACAGGTAAGGACTGTTAGGTTCAGCAGAGGAATGTTTTTCTGTATCTCGTACAGAGCTGTAAATACAACACTTTGATCAAGTTTAGGTAAAAAGCAGAGTTTCCCTTAAATAGGTCAGTAGTATGTCCAGACAGCGCAAAAAATACCATCATCACACTTCCTCAGTTTGGGTTAAACTTGTTATTAAACTGCAACAAATAAGCCTTAATACTTTTCCTTCTACTGCTTTAGATATACAAGATGAAACATTCATTAAAAAAACTGGCCTAGAAAAGGCTATGAGCCACTTCAGTGGGTCTGTTGTTGAATTTCATGAGGAAGCGAGAGACCACCTTACACAGAATGATTTCTTAACTCATGTAGTAGCAACTGAGGGTTACATCTTTGGTATCTAATAGCAGATATCTTTCAGATTCAAATTAACAACCAAATTTAATTGGCGAAACATTAAAGAAGATCTTCGTTAACTAAGATCTGCAAACCTTTTGTTAAATCAGTTCTTGAAGAACAAGTGGCTACAGTGGAAGTAAGTTTCCCACTGTGAAAAAGGCTAGCAGTGCTTCCTGTGTAAGGTTACTTTTTAAGCTTAAAAAGTAGTTATTTCTCAGTTGTCCCTTTTTAAAAAAAAAAAAAATTTATTTTGTTTTTGGTGGAGCTTTCCAGCTGTGCAGGTGTCTGATACATTAGGGATCAAGAATGGAGAATTGTGGTCACTGAGAACCAGTATTGATGTAACTCTTCCACCAGCCCAACCTGTGATTCCACCCTCATCCTTCTCCCAGTACAGCATTAGGACCTGGATGCATGTTCTCTGCACGACATCTCAAGTTCAGTAATTTATGATCTGCCAAAACTTCCAGGCTGAATTTTCTCATGCCACCCCAGTCCCATAATACATGGAATACAGCATCAGCAGTAAGCAGCACAGGCAGAAGATAATCCTCGAAGATGCTTCAGTATCTGTATTTCAAGATTTACCCCAAAGGAAAGTACTGACAGAACTCCTCAAGTTACATAGTGTCACAGGAGCTTGCATGGGTCTTTATATTTGCTTTAAAAGGAAAAAAAAAACCAAACAACAACCACCCAAACAAAACCCCATATATAAACTCATTGGGGTAGGACAATGCATCAGCGCTATGTAGAGACCAGTCTTGCAAATCTCCAGGTGGAGGAACCATGGGCTGTTTGGACCCTTCTTTTTCACTGCTCCATTTTTGCTCCTGTACTCAGCATGGTGATAACTAGCCAATCTTTTACTGGTTTGGTTTGTGGATCCAAGGTTATAAGAGAGATGCTCATTACAGTACTTCCTCAATAACTGTAAGCTGGCCCTCTCTGTCTCATGGTAGAAACCTTGTAAACTCATGAAGGTAAAGAGAACCTGAAGGATGGCTAAAGGTAACTGATGTTTATGCCCTATATGATGTTAGGCTTTAATAATTTGCAGTGGCTCCGCTATCTTCTATAGGTTCTGTGGAAGCAGACACCTAACTCTCGCAGCAATGCAGGAAAAAAGAACCACTGAATGTTGATTAGTAAATCACTATTGATGATATATGATTCCACCATGCTGGCAACACAGATCTTTGCAAATATTGTGTGGTATCTAATCTCACAACAAACATATTAAATGCCTTCATCAGGGAACATTCAACTGGTTGATGGCTCTCACGTGCACTGCTGGGATATTTTGGTGTGATCTGGGCTGCGGCAGGACGGCAACAGACTGGAGGGCTTTGTCAGCAGCTGCTGTCTCCTGCTTGTCAGCTTTCACAGTCTAACGTGCTTTCCTAATGCCTCTATTTCTCTTCTGCTCCTTGCTCTAGATGTTAGTTTTTTGCTTTCTCTAGGCTAGCGGATTCAGTGCAGCATTGGGCAGAGAGGAGCAACATCTAGGGAACAAAAAGGTGATCTGTTTCACACTGAAGAATCCCAGATGCCAAATCCCATGGTTACTTTACAGCTGAATTCCTCCTGGTTGAGGATCCTCTCTTCCATAAGGAGCTGCCAATTCAGATTTCTAGGTTGTGGCTTTAACAATATTGTATAGTAAATGCTTCAAAGCTGGTCTCAAAAAAAAACCAAAAAAAAAAAAACCAGAAAAAAACCCAATAGCAAGAAAAAACCAAACCCCAAAACCCCCAAGATTTTAACAGTGCATCAACTACAACTTCAGTATGACTGAATTATTTGTATAGTCCCACACAGCATGAACACCTCTAACAGTTTTTCTTCCTATAGAGCAATTAATTCACTTCAAAGGAAGGTTAATTACAGATAGTTGAGCTTCTCATAAGCGAAACACTGACTTCCCCAGCTGCTGCCCCTAGCCAGG